TATTTGTTAGGGAAAGACCATGAAAAAATGACTTTACGACATTAGCAACATTGGAATCCTCATGCTTAATGACACGAACGTCTTTATTCGTTTCCAGTATTAAGTAGTTGGCTATACATGGAAACAATTATGAACGAAATAAGGTTTGAAGACTTTAGATGAGAGTGGAGAGTCAGTAGTTAAAACACTACGAGGAGAATTCAACCTTTTGTGTAGTAAGGTGTTGTAGAAAGCAAATGCTCCTTGATGTCAGTGTCACATAGGAAAACAATTTGCTAAGCTTTGTTAATGACATCTCGGAGCCTGTGTAGCGTAAGCATTCAGTCATTTACATTCCATCATTAGGTTGCATAGCAGCAGCATGTAATGCATTCCTTGTATGAAGAATATTCCACGACCAATATACCAACCTTTGCATCCAACCATTAAATTGCATAGCACGTGATGCATTTCTGGCGAGCTTTGACTCTCTGAGTGACATTTTTGTCCAATGAAATCTTAGTTTTTAATTAAAAACGAGAGAGAAAATTTTAAATAATAAAATAGGTATTAAGTTTTGAAGGTAGAGATTTTCATGGTAGAAAATTCAAGTGAAAATCCATCGTGAGATCGTTCATTCCATTTCTTGCAGTCACATTTGCCTAAAGGCCACAGCCTCTGAAATAGTTGTAGCAGACATGATACTTAAGACAAAAGAGATGTCTACAGTCAACACTCCTTCCTTTCGAATGTTGTAGTCAATCATATCAAGTCTCCTTTAAAAGTGTTCGTGATAATTTAGCGTAAAAGCCAATGATCAGGAGTACATGTATACATAATTCAATATTTTGTCAAACAAAAGTACATGTATCAATGATATGGTAGATCGCAAAAGGACCAACTACCGTGCATGTATCGATGATATGGTAGATCGCAAAAGGACCAACCACCACACAACCTAATAAAATCAAGTACATACTCATTTAATCATACATTATTGTCAGCAACCACCATGTGGATAGTGGTTATCCTTGAAGCCAACAACGTGTCAGGTTTAGGTACCAAATAGTACATGTTAGATTAAAGTGCCAAAAAAACCCTGGTCTTGATACCATTTACAACATGAGCCTTTTTGAACTTGACTATTTTATAGTAAGCCTTCATTGACTAAATTCCTATATATACTTAGTTTCTTCTTTTATGATTTCAGAACTTTGACACTAAATCTAAAATTTTCTTCAGCCACCTTAACCACCTAGACCATGTAGCATCCTAAAAATCCTAATTTCAATCTTTATTTGGTAGCCTTTCAATTTTTAGAAAAAAGAGAAGCAGCCCCAAAGAATTCAATTAAGGATAGACTTCTAGTTTGAAAAACAAAAAAAAGGAAATAATAATTCCATTATACTGTAACTTTGAATTTTAATTCACTTAAGTGTTAGAATTCTTAATAGTATCATTGCCTTCTCTGCCATATTCCTCCGCGCTCTGAGTAAACACTAATAAGACCTCGCACCTGTTCGTATGTGTAAGTATATCAAGCTAAACCGAGTTTTCTTAGACGTGTTTAAAAAATAAAAAATAAAAACTTTGTTTTCGATCAATTCACGTTAAATGAAACAGTTATAGTCAGTACGTTTTATTCATCACTTTTGTTTTACATTCTATTGCATCTTGTATAAAATGTCATAACACTCGAGAGAAAAACAAGAGAGGGAAAAAAGGGAAATAAAGCTGTTTCCAGATAGATTTAATAAAAATAAATATGGTTGTGACAGATTAACAAATAAAGGTCATGTCTATAATTATGAAGTTTGTTTTAATTAACAATTTTCACCCAAAGCATTATACCGCTCAATGCCATCGAAACAACAACAGTAATGCAAGAAATTTTCTTGTGTAGTAATTTATTTCCACTTAGCTAAATCCCTTACATGCCAGTTCTTAAATTAATATGCTAAGAAATTTTTTGAATCGCTTATCTTTTTCCACTTTCAATTAAGTAACACTATCAATTAGCAGCACGTAATGTAATCGTACCTCATATTAAAGAACACAAACCAAATCCATGAACATTATCATCACACAACACATGCATACCATTAATTAACATAAACCATATTCATATCATTAAACTGCGGTAGTTTCCATCCCGTGTAGTTCAAAGGAGCAAACCAAACCCGGATAGATACGAGTTTCATTGTTGAGCATGAAGGCGAATCTCGTCCAAGCTACATTTATCAGATAATCGTGTCTTCTGCTTAACTTGAAAATAGTCCCGGTATTTCATACTTTTGAACAATGGTTTTTCTTTATCCAAAAGCTCCACCACAGGTCCAATTTCCTTATCTAGCGCAGGTCCATTCGACAACACAACACTAATCCTAGTGTCTGCATTGTTGAGGATTGCTCGGTGCAACACACTCGGGTACTTCCCATTACTCAAAACCTACATCAAAAGCCAAGGTTAATTACACCTGAAATTCCAAAGTCCAAATACAATGCAACGATTCAAAGAGCGAAAGTGAGAGTGACCTCAAGCTGATCTCCAAGCAAGACAATTAGGCAGTTGGGAAGGGGATTGATGTTGACCCATTTTCCATCATGCTTAACCTGAAGCCCTCCAATTCCATTCTGCATCAAGAGGGTCAATAAGCCTAGATCAGAATGTGAAGGCATCCCCAGAGCAAGGTGTGGCTGTGGACACGGTGGATACAGGTTCACAACGAAGAGCTGAAGGCCAGAGTCAAAACCAGTGGACTCAATTATGGAATTGGATTCTAATCCCAAACTCTCAGATATTCCTTCAAGCAACTTCCTTGCCACAGCCCTGATTTTATGGCTATAATCATATGCAACCTCCCTGCAGTAGCGACTGAGTAAGGCCAAGAAGCAACGACAAAACTTAAATACAGTAAGTTAGCTATTAGTATTATTTTTCTTTCAGAATTGTAATTTTACCTTATATTAAGGGTTGCATTAAATGGAAATGTATAGTACTAAAGTGAAACTTTAATTCTGATAGAAAAACAATACAAATACTGAATGTAAGTTTTGTCCGAAAATGTGAATAAATGTTGAGTTAGTTGATTATTGATTGAAGTTACTTACTAACCTATAACCTGGTGGTTTGTGGGGGAAGTTGAATTGAGGAAATGTGAGGGTCTTGAGATAATCTCTCCAATAATGAACATTTTCTGCTTGAGGACAAAAGCTGGTGCCATGCCTGATGGGGGATAAAGGATCATTGTCAGCAAACTCCTTCTTTTCCTCCATCGGCAAATCATGAAACTCGTGAGACTTGTTCATCAACTCTTCCATCAGGTTCTCGGGAATTCCATGATTTGTGAGCTGAGAAGCAAGTGAGTAGCGACAGTTGAAAGTGAAGTTGGTTGGTAGTTATGGAAGAAGTGAAGAAAGAGAAAGTGAGTTACCATGAAGAAACCCCAGTTTGCACATGCCATGCCAAGTTGGTGCAAGGCTTTGACGTGGTGGTGGTGTGAAGTGAGGAGAGAGAAGTCGATGACTGGGATGGAAGGCGCAAGGTCGTGTGTGGCGTCATCATGATGGAGGTCTGTGATAGAGTGGTAGGTGGAAGGGATGAGAGAAGCGCCGTTGGATTCTGCAAAAACTTTGATGCTTGAAACTTGAGATGCATGAACCTTTGCTGGTCCTGCTTCTGCTTCTGGTTGTGGCGATGAAATGGTAGCAGAAGAGGCCATGGATATTTGAGACTGGTTTATCTCCCAGTGACCCCACGTGTTTTTATCGGTGACACTATGAGACGTATATTAGTGTTACACGACACCTTTTAATTTGAAATTTTGATCGTAACTTCTTTTTAACTGAATTACACGCTTTTTCGCTCAAATAAATAAAAAAAATACATAAAATAAAAAAAATAAAAATAATTTATCAATTTAAGTAATTTCTATCATATGACAGTTGACGCATGGGGCATGCAACTTTGAATTAGGGGTGTTCATGAATTAGGTTTTTTGAAAAATTCGAATTGAACTGAACCGTTTTATAAAAGTAGATTGGTTAACCGATCCATTTTTATAAAGTGGATCGGTTTGGTTTTTTTAAAATATGGATCAGTTTTTTTTAAATTAAATCAGTTTGGTGCGGTGCGATTATCCATATTTTACTTATATAGATATCAGTTTTTTTAAAAAAAAATCGAACCGAACCGAACTAATCTATTTTGTAAAAATGGATCGAATATTTGAACTGGTTTCATAAAGTGGATCAGTTCGGATTTTTTTTCAAAATAGATCAGATTTTTCAATGTGGATCGGATTGGTTCGGATCAATTTAGATTTTTTACACACCTACTTTAAATGGGATAAAAGTTATTAAAGATGATGCATGGGGCTCTACTCCATTTGTTTTGTGCACATTGTCACCGTCGTTCCATTTGTGTCAGCCTTTGTTTACATTTTGCTCGTCTTTTAGATGGCACATGGGTACCCTGTTCCATCCATACATCATTTCTCTTCCTTTGCGTATCATGTCCCCTTTTCCATTATAAATGTTATAAAAGAAAGAAAAATAGAGAAAACATATAAGACAATATGAGATGGAGAAAAAGAATCTGACTGGTGTATTATCTTTGGGAGAGGAGTAACCTATTTATAAGTACATGTGATAACTGAACAATTACACAATAAAGGGAATAATACATAATGGAAATATAAATGGTAATGATTGATAATGAATATTGACATCCACTAATTAAGTCACTAATTATTATTCATAACACTCCCCCTTAGATGTCCAATATTTAGAATGTGTCTCGTTAAAACCTTACTAGGAAAAACCCGGTGGGATAAAAACCTAGTGAAGGAAAAAGAGTACATCATTCATAAATATTTACTTCTCCCCCTCATGCATACAATCTTTAAGACGACGGAGTCCAATGTTGTGTATCAATTGTTCAAAAACTTTTCTTGGAAGTGACTTTGTAAAGAGATCTGCTAGGTTGTCACTTGAGCGGACTTGTTGAACATTTATATCACCATTCTTTTGAAGATCATGAGTAAAAAAATAATTTTGGTAGAATATGTTTTGTTCTATCTCCCTTTATGTATTCATTTTTCAATTGTGCAATACATGCAACATTATCTTCATATATAACTGTCGATGTCATTTTTCCAGAAGATAAACCACAAGTTTCTTGTATGTGTTGAATCACAGACCTTAGCCAAACAAATTCACAACTTGCCTCATGTAATGCTAAAATTTCAGCATGATATGATGAAGTGGCTGATATGGTTTGTTTTACAAATCACCATGAAATGGCTGTACCACCATTTGTAAACAAATATCCTGTTTGTGATTTACCATTATGAGGATCTGACAAATAACCTGCATCTACATAATCATTTAGCTCTAGTTTGGGAACATTTGAATATAATAACCCCATATCCATTGTACCTCCAAGATAACGAAGGGTTTGTTTAACTCCATTTCAATGTCTTCGTGTAGGTGAAGAACTATATCTTGCTAACAAATTAACATCAAATGTTATATCAAGTCGTGTATAATTAACAAGGTACATTAGTGCTCCTGTAGCACTAAGATACGGTACTTCAGGACCAAGTATTTCTTCATCCTTTTCTTGGGGGTCTAAATGGATCTTTATTAACATCTAAAGATCTTACAATCATGGGAGTGCACAATGAATGTGATTTGTCCATATAAAACCTTTTAATCACCTTTGTTATATAAGCTTCTTGATGCACAAGAATTCCATTTTCTAAGTATTCAACTTGCAATCCTAGACAAAACTTTGTCCTTCCAAGATCCTTCATTTCAAATTATTTCTTTAAGCAATCTATTGCTTTTGAAAGCTCTTCAGGAGTTCCAATAATGTTTATGTCATCTACATAAACTACAATTATGACAAATCCATTTTGAGATCTTTTAATAAATATACATGGACAAATTAGATAATTTTTATATCCTTCTTGTAACAAGTATTTACTTAGTCGATTATATCACATACGACCTTATTGCTTTAGCCCATATAGGGACTTATTTAATTTAATCGAATAATCTTCTCTAGAAATTGCATCGTCAGGCAAATTAAATCCTTCTGGGAGTTTCATATAAATGTAGCATCAAGAGAGCCATATAAATATGTTGTAACTACATCCATTAGATGTAAATTAAGTTTTTCATATACAACCAAACTAATTAAATATCGAAAAGTGTTTGCATCCACTACAAGTGAATGTCTCTTCAAAATCAATATCGGGTCTTTGTGAAAAACCTTGAGCAACTAGTCTTGCTTTGTATCTCACAATTTCACCATTGTCATTTCGTTTTTACACAAAACCCATTTGTATCCAATTGGTTTTACACCTTTTGGTGTACGTAGTACTGGTCCAAAAACTTTTCGCTTAGCAAGCGAGTCTAATTCTGCCTCAATTGCATCTTTCTATTTTGACCAATCATTTCTTTGTCAACAATCATTCATGGACTTTAGTACTTGATCCTCAATATCATTTATTACATTTAGCGCTATATTATATGCAAACACGTCATCAATATTGATATTGTTTCAATTCCATCGTATTCCATTCATGACATAATTTATTGAGATCTCTTCATTTTCAATAATTTCAGGTACCTGAGTTTCTTCTGGAACTGGAATATTAGTTATGATAGAGGAATCTTTTTGAGTTTTTACATCCTCAATTTGGTCATTTTGCACTTTAGCTCCCTTTTTTATTCGAGGATTCTTATCCTTGGAACCAATTGGTCTACCACGCTTCAGGCGTATTTGTGACTCGTTTGTAGTATTAAATTGTCCAACAGGGACTTCGACTCTTATTGGAGCATTAGTCGCTGGTACATATGACTTAGTCACCCTTTTTGGATCTGTGAATACATTTGGTAATTGGTTGGCTAGATTTTGCAAATGAATTATCTTTTGAACTTCTAGTTCACATTGTTTTGTACGAGGATCAAAATAAGATAATGATAATTCATTCCAACTAATATCTTTTTCTAGCTATTTGTGTTCTCCCCCAAATGTTGGGAAAATCAACTCATTAAAAGAATGAGATGTGAATTCACCAGCATTATCCAAACGAATTTTCTTAATTGGATAATCAGGAAAATGAGCTCTTAATCTAATTAATTGAGCTAATAAAACGTCTGGTTGCGAATTGATAATAAATAAACATGTGACCATCTTGTTGATGCATCAATTAAAATCATAAAATATCTAAATGGTCCACATGGGGGTGTATTGGTCCACAAATATCACCTTGTATTCGTTCTAAAAATAAGATAGATTCATCCCCAATTTTTGATGGTGATGATTTGATTAATAACTTCCCTTGGGAACAAACAGTAGATGAAAAAATATTTGATTGAAGAATCTCCTGGCTCTTCAATAAATGTCCACATGAATTTTCAATTATTTTTCGCATCATGATAGTCTTAGGGTGACCCAACCGATCATGCCAAACCTCAAATTTATTTTGATTTGTAAACTTCTGGTTTACAATAGTATATGTTTCAACTGTATTAATATACGTGCAATACAGTCCATAGGAAAACGCAAATAATTTTTCCAATGTTTCCTTTTTATTCAAGTGGAGTTTCGTGATATAAAGATATTCTACATTTTCTTCATTGTTTGTTTCAATATGAAACTCATTTAAACGAATATCCTTGAAACTCAATAAGTTTCTGTAAGACTTAGAAAAATATAATGCATTTTTAATATGCAACTTCGTGTCTTTCAGTAATAATATATTAGCTCTTCTAGAGCCTTCAATTATATTTATAGTATCATATAACATTAATTTCTCGCATTATTGAATATGAGAAGACAAAAATTAATAATAAATTCATTTTTACCCTCTTTTTTCATTTTCAACCTCCTTCTTCCTTACTTTTGTAAGCTAATTTCTTTTTATTTATAATTTCTTATTTATATATTTATATTTTTGATTAATTTTTGTGTTATTTTGCATATTAAAAAACACATACATTATTTCTCTATCTATTATTGCAAATTATTTACAAGTAAGTATATAATTCTTATTTTTCAAAATTCGTTGTATATTGTAAATTTAAGAAATATAATATATATGTGTTTAGAATATATGTAGATAATTATCTATTAATATAAAAATAATTGTTAAAATTGTTAAAATATATTAAATTAAATTATCTTTAAATTTAAAAAGTATAAAATCTAAAATGTAAAAAATATATAGTTTAAATTTAATAATTGAATATATGTATTTAATTGAATATTATAAATGTGCCTATTTTACTTGAATATGTGTATATATGATTTAGTTATTTAATTGTTAAAATAATAAAAGACAATTTTATAAATTAATATGGATATTTTGGTAATCATTTTAAAATTAAATTATATTTAAAATTAAAAAATTTAAGATCTTAAATATAAAATTTATATAGTTTAAATATAATAATTGAATATATGTAATTAATTAAAAATTTTAAATGTGATTATTTTACTTGAAAATCTGTATATATGATTTAGTTATTTAATTTTTAAGATGAAAGATAATTTTATAAATTAATGTGGATATTTCGATAATCATTATGAAATTAAATTATGTTAAACTTTTAAAAATTTAAAATCTTAAATATAAAAATTATATAGTTTAAATTTAATAGTTGAATATATGTATTTAATTAATTATTATAAATGTGACTATTTTACTTGAAAATATGTATATATGATTTAGTTATTCAATTTTTAAAATGATGAAAGAT